ATGACATTATTCCTGGCAAGGATATAAGATTACTAAACATATCTACCGAGGGGCCTTCTGCCATTCCAGATGATCTCTTGGAGAAGCAGGAAGAAAAGGAAAAAAATGTTTCCTTTGATCATGAAGCAAGGTCAAGAAAAGGAAGAATCTATTGATTATGAAGCAAGGTGCGACGTACATGCTATAAGGGGACCTCGCCACCAGATGGCGGTCACGAGCCACGTACCCACTACTGCAGTAGTCGTTATTCCAGTCCACAGGTTGGGCGGGAGGATTTCTGCACCCGGAACGCACGAACTCCATTGCTTGGGTAACAACTTGTGCAGCTGTAGATGTCGAATTAATAATAGTCGGATAGTCGGGTTGAAGAGTAAATCCCTGAAAGGAAAAGCAAGTTTGAAAATAAAGATCAAAGTGCTTTTTGAAAAAAGAAAAACACCGTCAGTTGTATCCACTCTGCAAACACATGGAAAAATAAGTACACCATTAAAAAAAAAAAAGTGATCCCGCTATATTTCTTTAATCTAAATATGTATGAGAAAACCTGTAATTACATTCTTGCATATGGAGACTGAATTAAGAAACAGCGTGAAATACAGATACCAAGTCAGTCAAAACAAAGAGATGAATAGGTGAGATCTCTCAAAATTTGCTTTCTACCAAGCTTAAGGACACATTAATAGTTAATCCTCAGAATATGCAACAGTCTTTTCTGAAGGCTCTGGCAGCAGGTGGGTGAGTGTTTGATTCGACTACACCTATTCACATATTGTTCTCAAAACCCTTTTTCTTCATTCACTCACAAAGGGACCATCTGCTTCTTCTTTTATTTGTACTTCTCTCTCAGCTAAAAAATTCAACCAGAGCTTTTTAAAAGTTGCTGGAGTACGTAATAAAGAGAAAGAGATTGAAAACAACTTGCCACTGAAAACCACAGAGAGGGCAAAGAATAAGGCAGAGCAAATATTTTTTAATTGAAAAGCCTATGAGCTGGCAAACAATCATAAAACTTCAGGAAGATTCTTTTAATATACTGGCATAGTGAAGTGTTGACTTTTACTCCTCACAAAGCTATTAAAAATTCAATGAGAGAACCTCTGAAGAACATAGCTATATTTGGTAAACAAGAAGCATTCTATACTGAGTTATTTTCAGCTCATCAGGAGGATTCAAGAGTAGCACAAAGCGAACTCTGGTAGAAATGACCAAAAAAGTCACTGGATCTCATGACTGTGCTTTCTGCAACTTTAAGCCATGGTCTTCACTACTAAAAATTCTGATATTTTAAAAAGAAACACTTTCCTTTAAAATTTAATCGCAGGAGGTGCTGGAAGGCATCATACTGCTGTGGTTTTGTTGTGCTTTTAACTCAACACGATGAAAAGATGATCGGTTTTGCATGAAGCCTGGCTCTTTAGCTTTTGGCTCATGTTTCCGTCTGTCCTGGGTAACGAGTCAGATATACTACTTATCCAAAGTCTTTAATTTTCAATATTGGTTTTAAGATATTCTTTACATCTGTCCCATTCAATGAAAAATCATTTTATTCAATGTCCACATTAGTGCTGACCAAAGCTGTGCATGGAAGACATGTCTCTGAATGATGGGACACACACCAACAAAAAGTGGAAAATTGACCACACTGCCTAGTTGACATTACACAGACTTCAAAGGAATAGAATGTTCTCCAAAGTAACAACTGGCTTAGGGAAATAAATTGCCTACATAGGTACTACCTGGAACTCAAGCAATAAACATCTTCCAAAGTAGGAAAGTGCAAAGGACGAGGTTTGAGGTGCTATTCAAGTCTCTATTTAGCTTCAAATCCTTCCAGTCCATGCATCTACCCTGTCAGGATAGGAGACTCACTGGTTTCCAGTGAGATTTCGTAACTCCCTGCGATCCTGTGATATTGCCCTTAAGTGGCTTACAGTCCAGTCTTCTTACAGTCTTAGTGGCTAGTGTGATGCTGATCCATGGTGGCGCAAGCAGTGTGTGCTCAACTCCTAATCTACTTGTCAGCTGTTCGAACCCAATGAAGGATGCCGCGGAAGTCCTGACAGTCTCCTTCCATAAAGACTACAGCAAGACAACACTATTGAGTTGTTCTGTGTGGGGCCTCATGAGCAAGAATCCAATCAACTGCAATGTTTTCTGTTGCTGATTTATTGTAATGCTGTTTAAGGACGAGAGAGCACTCAAAGAGTGGCCTGTCTCCTTCACGGATTAAGCCCCTTTCCCATGGGCTGGACTGTAATGGTCTGGAGTGCAGCACACAATTATAATACTTACTAGTTATTCTCCGGGCCTAGTTCACTGTGCATTGGGAATATCTTTGTAAAAGGCCTTTTTAGCATGTGGAAATGCATAGATGTCACTTTGAGGATTAACACATGGTCTTAAGCCATGGTCTTTTCAATTACCTCATAAGCATTCAAGGAAAACCAAAGACAAATTGATTCATTTACATTATGGCTGACTATACCATGGATGTCTAAATTAATGAAGAAACCTGTTTTGGAAGAAGTATAGTTAAAATGATCCTTAGAAGGAAGACATCTTATGCATTTTGGGTGTCATATCAGAAGGGAGCAGTCCTGAAAGAGAACATTATGCTTGGTAAAGCAGAGGGTCGGGGGTGGGGGTAGGGGGGAAGAAAGGAGGAGGATCGAACATGAATTGTGGTTGCAACACTGGGCTCGAACATAGCAACAATCGTGAAGATGGCGCAGGACCGTGCAGTGTTTCCTTGTGCTGGGTGGAGGATTGGGCTGTGCACCAGAATTTACTCAAAGGCACCCAATAGCAACAAAATCATCGACAACAGTGCATAGCGATAGTTCCATAAATAGTGCATACAGACAATTAGACGCTGCTGTTGGAAAGGCCAACCAAGTATAAGTCAGTAACTGCCATGGTCTCCTGTTCTTGCCATTTAAAGTTCTCCAGATGGGATTTCCGCAGAACCAACAAAATGTAACCTAAAAGCAAACAGGTTTCAAATAAAGAGCAATTGAAAATGTTTTGAGTTAGCTGAGGACATTCAACACATGAAGAAGCAAAAAATAAACAGAAACAAATCGATCGGCTTCCAACCAGCCCCATATAACAACTAACACTAACCTACATTGCTTTTGTCCCATCCAACAAAGGATAGAGGTGACAACAGTTTATAAAACAAAAATGTGCAATACACAAAGCTCAAAGATTTACAAGTCAGCTAACTTCAATGTCTACATTTAATATGATAAATCCTATTAAAATGTGAAAGATGAGACAGACCACTGAGTAGGAACAAAAAGGATGCATGGAACAGTGGTACAACTCAGAGAACGTAATCAATGTCACAGAGATAAGGCCAAATTGTGTGTGTGTGTGTGTGTGTGTGTGTGTGTGTGCGTGTGCGTGTGTGTGTTTATATAATATAGATAGCATACCATCACACAGTTCAATCACATCAAGCAGTAGTGTACAATCGCACCACAATCCGTTTCAAAACATTTTCTTCCTTCTTGAACTCCTTGATATCAGTTCCTCTTTACTGCCCCCCCTTCCTCACAATACCCTACCCCCCACAAAAAAAAACACCCTTATTCTAATTGTTGTTTCTACAGGTTCAACAATCCTGGGTTTCATAGGGTGAAACACAGGAAACACATTACAAAGATTCAAGAAGGCTACCCACAATGACACACTACATTAGCGATAACCCTAATATGGAAATCAAAACAAACAAGCCCACAGAAAATATGGAAAAGCAGATCTGGCCCAAAGTGCATCCCAGGGAGGATCGAGTGATAAGGTTTTAACTGTTCCAGTCAGGTTTATAATTTTGATCTCCTAAAGTCATTTATTTCTCCAATACTCTCTGTTTTGCAACCAGCTTATTGGTACCCCTCCATTACGGTTAAAGGGAAACCCCCGGAGGCTTAGCGCATGTGTAGGTCTCACAAATGTATCTTAGGCTTCCACTGCTACCCACAGCCTTCTGCAAATGAAGTCTGGGCTCTGATACTATTCCCTCCTTTGGCTTCGGATTATATCCCTCAGTGACTGATGTTGGTGTGCTTCTTCCATGTGGACTGAGTTGACAACTCACTTAGATGGCTGCTTGTTTGGAAACAAGCCATTAAGACGCCAGACACTAGTTCATCTGATGGCTTGGCACCATCTCATTTCTTCACCATACTTTGCTATAGCACATTTATCTTCGGTGTTTCCCACATGAGGGCAAATATAGAGCCGGGTCATGTTGCAAGAACTAATTGTTCTTAAATTGGAGCTAGGATTGAGTGAAAGCCTCAAATCCATTTCCGAATCGATGTTTGGTTTTTGTTTTTTAACGTTTTATTGAGGGCTCTCACAGCTCTTGTAACAATCCATATATCAATAGTATCAAGCAATTCTGTACATGTGTTGCCTCATTTATTTACTATTGAGCCCTTGGTGTCAGCTCCTCTCTCCCCACCCCATTCCCCTGCTCCCACTCCTGTGGCCCCTTGATAAATGATAAATGATTATTCTTTTCTTATCTTACACTGACCGCTGCCTCCCTTCCCCCACAGTTTCTGTTGTGTGTCCCCGTTTGTGGGGGGGTGCAGCTATGTGTCCATCATCACGATCGGGTCCCCCTTCCTCCACTCCTCTCCCCGCCTTCCCCCTGCCCTCCTGGTATCGCTACTCCCATTCCTGTTCCTGGTGAATCTATGCTTTTTATCTACCTCTGGATGCTCTGAGAGACCTCCTTGTAAACTTGTGATAGAGAGTCTAATCAATCATCTCCCTGGAGCATAAAGGCCTTCTGTGAATAGTGTCATTGATTAGCCCTGTTACTAATTTTTAAAGCACTTTGAGAGAGGGCTCCTGGGCCAGTGTAAGTTAACGACACATCGCGATTCCTGAAGCATTCACTTGTACAGAATAAAGGCTTTCGTGGCGGGATGCTAGTTACACAAACAAGGGGAGTCAGTCGGCTGTTGGGGAAAACACTATTAACTGACAATTGTTAATCCCAGGCCTGCCAGAAAAATACATAGCTTAATTAAGCCAGCAGGACATTGATGCGCTAAGCCAATGTTTTTGCACCTACCCACAGTGCACTGCACTTGATGTAGTTGTCTTGTGCGTCTTCGAATACTACGTAAATTTAGTCTCAATCCCTCGGGTGACAGGTGTGTTTGAGGTAGAGCCTAGTTCACCTCATGGGGTTTCCACTTCAGATCCCTCTGGGATGGCCTTTGAGTGTGTTGTGCACATTGAAGAGCCAGGATTCAATGGCCCAGTGTGCTACAGCACTTGGCCTGGGTCACCAGGGAGTATACAGACACTCGGCCAATATGGCTTATTTGCTGTGTGTTAGGAGGCACCCCCCTCAGTTG